ATGCTGGTTAAGTGTGCCTTGAATTCTAAATAGATCACTGACAGTGTCACCAGCAAATCACCTCCACACCATAACACCTCCTCCTCCATGCTTCATGGTGGGAACCACACATGCAGAGATCATCCGTTCACCTACTCTGCGTCTAACAAAGACACGCCGGTTGGAACCAAAAATCTAAAATGTGGACTCATCAGACCAAAGGACAGATTGCCACCGGTCTAATGTCCATTGCACGTGTTTCTTGGCCCAGGCAAGTTTCTTCTTCTTATTGGTGTCCTTTAGTAGTGGTTTCTTTGCAACAATCGACCATGAAGGCCTGATTCACACAGTCTCCTCTGAACAGTTGATGTCGAGATGTGTCTGTTACTTGAACTCTGTGAAGCATTTATTTGGGCTGCAATTTCTGAGGCTGATAACACTAATCAACTTATCCTCTGCAGCAGAGGTAACTCTGGGTCTTTCTTTCCTGTGGCGGTCCTCATGAGAGCAGGTTTCATCATAGTGCTTGATGGTTTTAGCGACTGCACTTGAAGAAACTTTCAAAGTTCTTCAAATTTTCCGGATTGACTGTCTTAAAGTAATGATGGACTGTCATTTTTCTTTGATATTTTGAGCTGTTCTTACCATAATATGGATTTGGTATTTTACCAAATAGGGCTATCTTCTGTATACCACCCCTACCTTGTCACAACACAACTGAATGGCTCAAACGCATTAAGAAGGAAAGAAATTCCACAAATTAACTTTTAACAAGGCACACCTTTTAATTGAAATGCATTCCAGGTGACTACCTCATGAAGCTTGTTGAGAGAATGTCAAGAGTGTGCAAAGCTGTCAAAAAGGCAAAGGGTGGCTACTTTGAAGAATCTCAAATATAAAATATTATTTGATTTGTTTAACACTTTTTTGGTTATTTCATAGTTTTGATGTCTTCACTATTATTCTACAATATAGAAAACAGTAAAAATAAAGAAAAACCCTGGAATGAGTAGGAGTGTCCAAACTTTTGAGATATTTGTGTATTTCATTTTCAATACATTTGCTAAAATGTCTAAAAACGCTTTGTCATTATGGCGTTTTGTGTGTAGATGGGTGAGAATAAAAATATATTTAATCCATTTGGAATTCAGGCTGTAACACAACACAATGTGGAATAATAATACTTTCTGAAGTCACTGTATTGCCTGAGCAATTCATTATGTTTTTAAATCGTTTGATCTTTACACTCTCTGATTCTGTCTTTGATGCTTCTATCTCAGAAGATAGTGTCAACAGTCTGAGACCACAATGCAGTTTAATATGAACTTCTGACATTGTGATATAAACAAAATCCATTCTCAGATATGCGATGACGCCCCAACATTTCCTTCACCCTCTAATAATATCAGGTAAATGTAGGGGTCTACTGTTTCATATCTAAATTTGGCTTGACTTTACGTTGACTGACAATCAAAGCAACTGTATGAAACAAGATCTCTGTCACACTCTCTCCCTACTCCTCTGTTGTCTGCCAATTTGCAATGGAACACAAGACAAATCTCAGGGCAACTCATTCACAGTATGCCTTTGGTTTCTTTAACATTATGTAACAGAAAGTTTGTGAGTTATTATATTTTTCAAAAAGTGGCAAGGATATGCACTGTCTGAAAATATCAAGTGAAGTGACTACTTCTGTTTGTGGAAAAGCCTGCCAAGCCCTGTCCTTTGTCAAAAGGATTGCGCAAATCCTGGAGTCAAATTTAACACTGTATTTTAATTGCCACTACCCTGCCAGCTATTGTACACGTGAGATCCTTTATGAGTATATGGTGTCTAAACAGAACAGGGTAAAATACAGGACCTATCACCCTATTAGGCAATGTTATACAGTACACTGTACCTGGTTTACGTTTCAGAGATAACTCGGCACACGTCATGTCTGAATGGAGCAGAGTGCTCCCAAATACACCACAGACACACAAAGACACTTCCCTGATTATATCCTGCTGCTGATTAACAACACTATATTTATATTCACAAATAGTTCCCATTGAGATGTTTGGAAGTCTTTGCTGTGATGTGAAATGACACATAGTCATAAGGGGTTATAATAGGAAACGTCCCACATTCCAATGCTGCTACAGTATGTGGGAGTGGGACAATAAGACAGTAACAAAATAAACTTAGCATGGTCAGCCAAGCCAGTCGTCAGTCCCTTCAGTCGCCTGTCCACCCGCCACCTCTCACCCACATAATGATTTAAGAGGGGTCCTTTCTCTTGTTCAGAAGCTGTCCCATGAGGCTTCATGCTGCTGCTCACGCCGTACTCTCTTCACACCCTCCCTTGTCATCTGTTTCAGTTACATGAATAAGAGGTGCCTGTGACACATGCAGGGCAAAGCATTCAGTCCCTTAGACCCAGCCCCAGAGGAGCGTGTGTGTGGGGGGGATGGAAGTGGGAAGTGGAAATTTACAGTCCCGAGTCAGTATCTGGAGAGTTGGTCCGCGGCTACGAGGCTGTGCCCAATCTCCACATAGGATTTAATTGTCTTTATCTGAGGGGCGTGCCTCGCTGTCAACTCCATTTCTTGTGAGCTGTGTTGGCATAAAGGCATTCAGTACAGAGGAATGTAGATAGCTGAGAGAGAAGCACACTACACATAGCCACACCATGAAGGAAATGTAAGTCCTTGGAATTACTCAACTGGAATTAGAAAATAGCCTTATCTTAATATTTATGTTTTTTTTGGATGCTTTTTGTTTCAACTGAATAAGCAATTTCATGTAAGTACTAAAAAACCCTTGAATTAACATATTTTAAATGTCTTTGTTGATGCCTTGTTTGTGAGTGTGAAAAGAGGGAATTGAAATTCACAATGACTATCTGTTGCAATGCATCTTTTTTATAGGATCTTTCTTTGTGTTTGACTGACTATCGGATGCTAAGTTGGACATGTTTCTAATGCTGTGTTTACAGATAATGACAGTGTGAAGTTTTTAGAAGGGCTTGAGAATGTCTGGTCAAGGGTTTCTGGGTGGGCCACTTGGCCATCCCAAGGACTGTTTGCCTTAAGGCTTACCCAACGGCAGACAGCCTCCCAGCACCCAGCAGGTGAAAGCACATAGAGCAAACAAGAGAGAGAGAGAGGAATAGAGTGCCAGGAATAGAGAAAATAAGATAAATAGAGTGGGCGATAGCTGATCCAGTTATGTAATGAGGTTTGAGAGTGGAAGGCGGTTGAAGTTGACTTGTCATGCATAACAGAGACAGAGAGAACCTAGAATATTACAGAGCAGAACGAGTACAGCGTGATGGAGAGGAAAATAAGAGGAGATGGATTGAGTAAAGAGGGGCTGTGTGGTTGTAGCTCAAGCATCCTTTTAATAATTGAATAAAAAAATATGTAGTTATTTTACACTGCAATACAAGTTAACTTTTTTATTAGACTCCAAAACAGAAGCACAGAGCGGTCACTGGTCAATATATGCAGCTTTGCATTGCTTTTTCATAATGAGGTATTTGTCTGTGAATAGCTACAATGTTTGTGGAGTTGTTTTCCGTCTTAAAAACAACTCTGTTATGTTTCTCAGTCTGCCTGTACAGTTGCTACATAATAATATAATATGCCATTTAGCAGACGCTTTTATCCAAAGCGACTTACAGTCATGCGTGCATAAATTTTTTTGTGTATGGGTGGTCCCGGGGATCGAACCCACTACCTTGGCGTTACAAGCGCCGCGCTCTACCAGCTGAGCTACAGAGGACCACATGATGTTCCTGTATGGAGTGTTAGTCATATGACATGGTGAATGAAGATACCTTATGTTTTGAAGATTTATGGCTGCCTTTCAACTGAGAGTAGTTTGGATAGATTGTTCTGTAAACTGGTAATATGTATTGTTGAAAGATCCAACTATAAATCTACTTTGAATAATACTGTCACTTTCAGAGGCTAAAAGAGAAACATTTACTCATTGGATAATAATTTGTTCTCCAGCTATTCTTCTGTGAATCTTTTGGAAACCAAGCACATAGTTGACCGACTCGTAGGTTTTTGTGAGTCACACAATCCCCAATAACAGATTTCCATTGGAGCCAGCGAGAGTAGAGGGAAAGCCTTTGATGTTTCTGCCAACTGCATTTCAGTCTGACAGCCTCAAAAGGAGAGGAAACCTTACCCTGGCACACTGGTATATCAGCCTCACGATTAATCATAGCAGCTTTTTTCATTATTCCTGTTTTATACAGTGCCATTCATTATATTCCAGCAGTAAGCAGTATTCCAGCAGTTTGTGTCTTAACATGTCCAAGCAATTTCTTACCGAGCTATCCCTTCTGCCCTGCCACGGTTTGGGTGTTTAACCATTCAGTGAACTTAAGCTGTGGGATCTTCCAGTTGGTCCAACTGCTCTAAGCATTAGGCAAATTATTTCAATGTGATTCAGGTTATATATCTATTGTGGATATCATGAGTTTGTCAGTGTTATTTAAGAAATTATTTTTCGTTTATGCTCAGTCTTAAAGGCATACAGTATATCCTGTTCAAAACATTCCCTTTAAGGATAAAAAATAACACATAATCAAGATGTTATTACATATTTTATATTATGCACATAGAAATTATAGTTGCACAGTATAACTGTGCGCAAGTGAGTAATGCCATCAAGAAAAATTATTTTACCATAAATTATCTAGTCCAACCCAGAGTGATTTTCAATGCAAGATTGAGCACAATATCCAAAGTGAAGTAATTAAAAGAGAACTGTGCCGAGGAGGAAGCCATACAGTAACTCCTGATGCAGTTCTTATAGCTGTATCACTGTAGCACGCCATGGCTGACTATACAGCACGTGAGACTCCTTTATCATGCTAATGCGCCGTCCTGTCTCTGCATTATCCGGCTCACTTCTCTCTCTCTCTCGTCCCCCCTTCTTGCCCTCTTCCTGTTCATCTCTCTCTCGCTTTCTCTTTCTCCTCTCTTTTTCGTTCTGCTCATCCTCTCTCCTCTCGACCTCTAAAGAATGGCACAGAAAGAGAAGCTCCAAAGTCTGAAGGATTTCCACAAGGACACGCTGAAGCCTTCGCCAGGGAAGAGCCCGGGCACGCGGCCGGAGGATGAGGCCGAGGGCAAGCCCATCCAGAGGGAGAAGTGGGCCAGCAAGCTAGACTTTATCTTGTCCGTGGCTGGAGGCTTTGTCGGTTTAGGGAACGTGTGGCGCTTCCCGTACCTCTGCTATAAGAATGGTGGAGGTAGGCATTCAAATGAACATGGGCCCTTTTTCCATAGAAACAGGTCTTAAAGTGGGGGGTCACTTAAGTTAGGAAATCGTTATCAGGAACCTTCAAAGAAGTCAACTCAGGGACTGCAATTACAGGATTTTGCCTTGTGAAATGGCTGTGGGTAGGCACATACTGTAGACCCTGACATTTGTACGCTAACTGTCTCTCTTTCTCTCCTTCACCCAGGTGCGTTTCTCATCCCTTACACCATCTTCCTGTTTGGTGGAGGCCTGCCGGTGTTCTTCCTGGAGGTGGCTCTGGGCCAGTATACCTCTGAGGGAGGCATCACCTGCTGGGAAAAACTCTGCCCCATCTTCACAGGTGAGTCACCACACTGCTTCCCATTGTCCCAATACCATTCTCCCATATTGCCCTTAGACCAGTCATCATCAGGGAAAGGAGGCAGGGAAAGGAGGCGGTGTAAGCCTTCTTGGGCATGGTGTGATGTACTGTAGGTGGTAACGTCAGAGACGGAGAAAGGGATTAATGAAGAGCCTAAACACTGCAGCGTTTCCGTTAGCATTGCTTAGGCGGGGCCTGCTCTGTGCCAAGCCTGCTCCGTGCCTGCTTAGTGATGTGTCCCATCATAGGAAAAAAAATCAAAAATGAAAATGATGTTGCCAGCCTTTGAGCTAGCCTTGATGTTCTTTGCGTCCTGCTTAAAAAACTACATCCAGTGACAATACCCAGACTGTAGTTAGTTCTGTTGTTCTGACTGCTCTTGCAAAACTCCATAACAGCACTGATTATGATGTCTGTGGGCTGCTAGACTCAGTATGTACACATCGAGGTGTCCCTCGATGTGTACATTTTTACATTGACATTTTTAGTCATTTAGCAGACGTTCTTATCCAGAGCGACTTACAGTTAGTGAGTGCATACATTTTCATACTGGTCCTCGGTGGGAAACGAACCCACAACCCTGGCGTTGCAAGCAACATGCTCTACCAACTGAGCTACACGGGACACACTTACTTACACTGGACCACACTCACTTCATTCATTAACCAGCTCTGTGATGTGTAAAATACATTATTTAGCATAGCATGAGGAGCAGCCTGGTCCCAGATCTGGATGTGCTTCAGCCAATTTATCTGACTATGCTTTTGTCATGCATGATGATTTGACTGAAGCACATAACCCTACTGATCTGGGACCAGGCTAATTGTGGATTGCCTAATTTACATTAGAGACTGGACGTGGTCAAACACCAAACACTGAACACTCACCAAACATTGAGACTGGCCTATTTTTGGCAGGTAAATACATACACACGCACACGTACACATATTTGCAGCCTTGGGTGTGTAAAGGAATGCTGAGTTCCGTGTTACCATGGAGTAGAGAAGAGCGAGCGCTCCGTAAGTTATCTATCGATGGGATCTGTGTAGGTCCGATGGATGGATATTAGCATGATGTTGTTATTGCAGTCCTGGCGTCAGGTTATGGCCCTACAACATATCTCCTTATCAGTCAGGATTTTCACTGTAATATACTATAGGCAGACCAGTTGTATCACGCAGACCAGTAAGTAGTAAGACAGCTGAAGATAACAAAGCAGCAATAGACCCCCTTCAGCTGTTTTAACACTAGTGAAGGCTCGCAGCCATGAGCTGCTATTCCAAGAAAGAAACAGTTGAAGACAAGGGCTGGGAGTGCAGCCGATCTTTAGCAGCTGTCGATGAGCTTGACTAATCAAGGAGTGCTGAGGCAGCTGCCTGTCTGACCGTCAGGATGTGTGAACTGGCACACACATGCACGTGTGCACACGCACGCACACACACACAGACTACAGAGAGACAGACGCCCACAGGTGACCTATAGGTGGCTTCCACTGTCCCTTTTAGTCTTTTATTACACCTTCAGAAGGCCTGCCGGCCTCACCTACCACACACACAACCACGGATTAATTTGTCTAACAGTTTGCGTGTGAAATGTGGGGGCTGAGAAGGGGGGAAAGGGGGGAGAGAGGGGGTTACCGGAGGTGACGCCAGTCTAAAAATAGTTCAGAGGAGTGGAAGCGTACAGGGGATTTCTGTATCTAGACGGGGACCAATGTCATATCTAAAAATAACATACAAACACTAAGGTCTTTATAACCGTAGTTAGTACACTCAAGCCAGGGAAACATCCTCTCTTTGAAATAGGAGTGCACTGAGTTGTGAACCATCCGAGTCAGTAGATTCGTTTCCATTGGTTATATATAAATCTCCTCAAAAGGCACTAGATCAGTGTTCACTGAAGTGCTTCAGCTCCAATGTTGGCTTTACATGTTGTCGTTTACAAGGAGATTCAGTGTCACATACTGTAGCCCATATGACACTGTTTTGCTATTGATTGAATTATTTCTCTTCTCTGTAGGTATTGGCTACGCCTCCATTGTGATCGTCTCTCTCCTGAACATTTACTACATAGTGATTCTAGCCTGGGGACTCTACTACCTATTCCAGTGCTTTCAGCCGGAGCTGCCCTGGGCCAAATGCAATCAGCCATGGAACACAGACCGGTGCGTGGAGGACACATTCCGCAAGAACAAGACCCTGATGCTGGCTGCCAACATCACCAACTTCACCTCCCCCGTCACTGAGTTCTGGGAGTGAGTTCTCACTGTCCGACAGCTGGGCTAACTCTGTTCTGACACACACAGACAAACACACACAGAGAAAAGCAGAAAAGCCTACACACAAGCATACACAAATCCATACACACACATGCAACCATGCACACACGCACACGCATGAGCACACACACACATTCTGTCCACATATACAAATCAAATCAAAAGGTAACAAACAAGGTAACAAACAAACTCAAATAAAACAGACAAACATAAACACTACAGATACTGTGCCTCTTCCTTATTTGCTGTAAACATATATGTTTGGATTGGCAACATTTCCAGAGCAGAAAGCACACTGAACTTTAATAAACTCCCCCTCAGTCATGAGGTTCATTATATCTTTAAATTGGATCTTTCACTGCACTATATTTGGATCAAGGGGTATTATCATTTTCCTTTTCTCTTAAAAGTCCTGCCAAATTTGTATACTCTTGGGGAGCCACAATCACTTAACTTCAAATCACAGTTTACTGTAAGATAATGCTTATTTACATTTGGTCAACACAAAATCCAACAGCATAGATTATATCTACTTTCTACCATATCCATGGGCCAGACACTGATGAGGTAGAATATCCCACAGAAATATAACACATAGAATGAAAAGAACATACTGTCATCTCTTAATATTCTCTCAGGGCACAGTACATTCAGACCAAGGAGGAGCTAGAGCAGAGGAGGGTTGGTGAAAACTAAACCTCACCAGACACGTTATTGCTTTTCATTGCTTTGATGTAACCCCTGTTGGCAGGAAACCTTGGTCAGGACCCACAGGAATTATGATGTCACACTTGCCCTACTTAAAAAATCAATAATAATTGTAGAGCGAGAAACGTACTGTACTGTACCATGCAGGGGTCTACATAGGCTTACAGTTCCATCAGAGCCTCTCCCTAAAGATAGTCATTGACCTGTATCCTGTCTTTTCCCTCCCTCCAAAGACGCAACGTGCTGAGCATCTCTTCTGGGATCGACGACATCGGGCCCCTAAAGTGGGACCTAGCCCTGTGTCTCCTGGCAGTATGGATCGTCTGCTTTTTCTGCATCTGGAAGGGAGTCAAGTCCACTGGGAAGGTTAGTAGAAGCATGCTGTGGTTGTTATCAGACTTGTTTGGAGTCTCTAAAAATAGTGTTTATGCACACACCCAAAAAAGGGAAGGACTTAATAAAGTAATGTAACGTCTGAGGCCAGTAGGCTGGGTGCAAGCTGGGTTTTTTACCCAATTTTTCATGATATCCAATTGGTAGTTCCAATCTTGTCTCATTGCTGCAACTCCCCAACGAACTCAGGAGAGGCGAAGGTCGAGAGCCATGCGTCCTCCGAAACATGACCTAACAAGCCATACTGCTTATAGACACACAGCCAGCTGCACCAATGTGTTGGAGGAAACACAGTCCAACTGATGTCAGCTTGCAGGCACCCGGCCCACCACAAGGTCAATTCTGCGCCGCCCCATGGGGCTCCCGGTCACGGCCAGCTGTGACACAGCTTGGGATCGAACCCGAGGTTGTAGTGGCACCTCTGTGCTGCGATGCAGTACCTTAGACCGCTGTGCCACTCGGATGCCCAGGTGCTAGCTGTTTTCTGCTGTAGCCAACTTGTCTTTGTCACTGACAAGGTGTGTTGATGATTTCAGAAACAGTCTGGCACGCAGGCAGGCTAGTCTGTTTGATTAAGGCCTGTGAGTTACTGTACTGTACATTAGGTTTCCCCTCAGATCTCCCTCTGTCTGTCAATGGAGCGGGACAGTCACTGGGCTGAACTGACCTTGTGGTGGGCCGGGTGCCTGCAAGCTGACATCAGTTGGACTGCCTCCACTTAAGGGACCACTGTGGTTTGTTGGGAGATCGATCGACTGTCTATTTGGTAAACTCTTACAGAAATACCCCATTCGTGGTTTCAGCTCCCTACTTAAACAAAACACAGAATTAGCCCCTTCCATTATGGTAAACCGCTGCATATCCAGCGTTGCCATTACTTTACACGGGAGTGGCTTAAATCCACACTATAAAAGGCTGGCATTATGACCATGTAATAATATTCTTATCGCCAAGCACCTAGAGCAAACACAGAGCTCTACAAGTCACCTGGTTTTGTTGTGGATGACACTCCTTTAATGACGGCAGCTGTTATTTCAGTTGAAGGCTACTGTACAGTAAATTTCCATGCACTCACTTCAGCCACCCACCCCAACTGAACATCCTCACACAATGCAATCTACAACAGTCAACTATCTTTGTGCAGTTGTGTTCTTCTGTATATTGTCACGATCATCGGGAACAGAGGACCAATGCGCAGCGTTATTTGCGAACATGCTTTTATTTATCGAACAAAATCGATACGTGACGTCCAAAGGTACAAACCTACACAGGAACAAGATCCCACAAATACTGTGGAAAAACAGACTGTTTAAATATGGTTCCCAATCAGAGACAACCAGCAACAGCTGACACTCGTTGCCTCTGATTGAGAACCACTCTAGCCAACATAGAAACACAATAACTAGAACACCCTAGAAACACAAAACTAGAACAACACAAAGAACACTCACACCCTGGCTCAACATACAAGCGTCCCCAGAGCCAGGGCGTGACAGTACCCCCCCCCAAAGGCGCGGACTCCGACCGCGCCAACAGAACACCACAGGGGAGGGACCGGGTGGGCACCAGTGGCGGCTCCTGAAAAAATTCTCAGGGGGGGCAATTTTTCTGATGATTTAGGTGACCTACACACATTTTAAAAAAGATATGTCCAGCAACAACATGAAGACAGGGGCAGCATATAAGTCAATACCAGAAGCATTTATTGACTGATCTCAAAAGTGTTGGCTTACCAGGGTTGGTGGAGCCCTCAGTTTCATCTTTTTAAAATGTCTGCACACAATGTTTCGGGGCTCTCTTCAGATAATAATAATAATATGCCATTTAGCAGACGCTTTTATCCAAAGCGACTTACAGTCATGCGTGCATACATTTTTGTGTATGGGTGGTCCCGGGGATCGAACCCACTACCTTGGCGTTACAAGCGCAGTGCTCTACCAGCTGAGCTACAGAAAGTGGATACTCATGGATGCGCATCGCAATTGTAAAATGTCAACACAATTGGAGACACCACGTCATTTTTGGAGACATGTTATTGACAGTAAACTATTGTAGATGCGACTGCTAACTAAATAAAACATTTTAGCTGGCTAGCTAATCATCTTAGCTAAATGTGGGGCAAACAATTCAGTTATTTACCGTTAATTTGAGGGATTGGGGTGAAAGAAATCGAGTTACATAGTGATACTTTACGATATACTGTATTGACAATATCGCAATATTTTAGCGCTAGTTGGCTGTACCTGCACCAAAACACCATTATTGTTCCTTCATAGCTTGTTCTCAATCTTTTCACATTGGGAGCCAATTTGTTTTCAGCACTTTTATTTCCATGACTGATCAAAACTCGTTCTCATGGCTTTCTGATCCCTCTGCAACAGACATATGGTGCGCAATAAAATCACAGTATCGAATCGCAATACGTATAGAATCATGAGACTCGCAATGCATATATCTTATCGTGAGGTTCCTGGCAATTCCCAGCCCAAGTTCATTTGCCACAACAAATCTCTTCGCTAGCAAACGCGATGTCTTCTCCAAAACGGCAATGTGTCTCCAGCAATGTTTACTTTTTTGACGTTCTATGGCATCTCCACTTTCCAAGCATATATGACCACATGTAATATTTTGGTAAGTGATGCAAATAGTGAACTATGTAGGGCCAGGATGTAAAATATATGTAGCTGCAGCAATTTCTCTTATCTGATATGGTAAGTAATGGGGCTTAATGTATAGCTCCCTAAGAGTTTGACGAACGGGTCCGTGCACGCGATTCCAGATATCTTTACCTCTGAATAAACTGCCTTTATTATACCATATCCACCCTGTCCAAAGTCTCTACTTGGTCTCAGTTCTCCAGTAAACTTGTGATTATCAACACTAACCTCATCGTTGTGGCGGCGGACAGCTAGCCTGTATCCCTCATCCAGTTGAGTGGCAATGTCTTTTTTCGTTCGTACCAATTTTTGGAAAATCCTCGGGTGTAGGACTTTCCGCCTTTAGTAGAAACCTGTTGAATTATTAAATTTGGTCTGGGAGGTCCTAATTGTTTCGTTGCCAATTTATCTTCATTTGTTCGCCGACAAAAAGGAACTTCTTTCAAAGACACAATCGAGTTGTTACGTTCATGGTTACGTTACGTATGACGAAAGCGCGTAAGTGCAAGCCCTCAGACACCCATAGAGATTGTATTGAAAGCTCTGAAATTTGAAAAAAATAGATTTTACATGGGAGTCTATGACAGACTTCTGGGCGATTTTCAACCTGACTGAAATCGCCCCAAAAGGGGGGGTGGCCATTTGAAGCAATTGGACATTTAGTGGCAGTGTGGCACTGTGGCAGATCAGACGTCTAGATTACAACACTGATAACTACTGTTGCCGTGATATAATTGATTAGAAAAAAAATCCCTTCCTTTTCCCGTTTGGCAGTGCGTCGCCCATATCGCCCTATTGAACAGGCCGCCCCTGGTGGGCACTCCGCCTTGGCGGCGGATCCGGCTCCGGGCATGATCCCCACTCCCTCTCTAACCCCCCACAGTACCCCTGGTCCGGTCTGGCCCTGCTGGCCGGAGCTGGACTGAACACTGGTGGAGCGGATTGCTCTAGCTCCGGCGTGGAGCAGCTGACCGGTGCCGGACCAGGCACCGGTGGAACAGGTACAAGCTGTGCCGGACTGACGACGCACACCACTGGCTTGTGTGGGGAGCAGGAACAGGCCGAGCCGGGCTGGCGACGCGCACCATTGGCTTGGTGCGGGGAGCAGGAACAGGCCGGGCCGGACTGGCGACGCGCACCATTGGCCTGGTGCGGGGAGCAGGAGCGGGCCGGACCGGACCGGGCTGACGAAGCGCACCACTGTCTTGGTGCGGAGAGCAGGAATGGACCGGGCCGGGCTGACGACGCGCACCATTGGCTTGGTGCGGGGAGCAGGAACAGGCCGGGCCGGGCTGGCGACGCGCACCATTGGCTTGGTGCGGGGAGCAGGAACAGGCCGGGCTGGCGACGCGCACCATAGGCTTGGTGCGGGGAGCAGGAACAGGCCGGACTGGGTTGGCGACGCGCACCACAGGCTCGGTGCGAGGGACAGGAACAGGCCGGACCGTACTGGGGACACACACCACTGGCCCTACGCGGGGATCAGGAACGGGCCAGACCAGACTGGTAACACACCCCAGTACCTCTCGCCGTGCCTCTACACTTTCCTTCCCCTTTGTGACCAGCGGCCCCCGTAACCTGGCGGCCTCCTCTGCCAACCCGCTGGACCGCTCTATTGCGGCCTCCTGCTGCCCCGTCGTCCACGGCGTGAGCCCCCCCCTAAAAAATATCTGGGTGTCTCTCCTCCCCGTGGACCAGGCCTCCCTATCTCTCGCCAGACTCTCACCCCACTGCTCCAAAGTCCAACCTCTCTGCTCTTCACTTGGCTTGGCCCAGTCGAGACTCTTCCTCCACTGCTCCCAAGTCCACCCTCTCTGCTCTTCACTTGGCTTGGCCCAGTCGAGACTCTTCCTCCACTGCTCCCAAGTCCAACCTCTCTGCTCTTCACTTGGCTTGACCCAGTCGAAGTTGCAACGGAGATCCGCTAGAGATTCCCCTGGCGATGGCTCCTGGACACGCTGCTTGGTCCAGTTTTGGTGGGATCTTCTGTCACGATCGTCGGGAACAGAGGACCAATGCGCAGCGTTATTTGCGAACATGCTTTTATTTATGATTACACTAACAAAATCGATACTTGACGTCCAAAGGTGCAAAACACAAACCTACACAGGAACAAGATCCCACAAATACTGTGGAAAAACAGACTGTTTAAATATGGTTCCCAATCAGAGACAACCAGCAACAGCTGACACTCGTTGCCTCTGATTGAGAACCACTCTGGCCAACATAGAAACACAATAACTAGAACACCCTAGAAACACAAAACTAGAACAACACAAAGAACACTCACACCCTGGCTCAACATACAAGCGT